CAGAATCTTCTGCAGCAGGTCTACATCATGATCATAGAAACGAGTACTCAACTCAGCTAGGTCCTGATCGGATTGATTCTTGCTTGACAGCCACTGGCGCGTTGCCGTACAACTTTTGAGCTGCTTCCAATACGTTAGCATGAAACACACACGATATCGTTGCTGCTGGGATTTCCAGAAAATGCTTTTCAAGCGTCGGAGCCGATCAAGCGCAGGTGAAAACGCCAATGCCGATGACGCCGATGACGACGAAGAGGAGATACTGGCGACTTTGAACTTGTCGAAGAGAAGAGTCATGGACGTTTGCATTCCTCTGAGAAGACACTACTGTTGTTTTTTCTGTCGACGTCGATGCTTCTTCTGGTGTTGCGCTCGTGATTCCGAAGAAGCCGCCACCGCGTCAATTTTGTCTTCCCCACTTTGATGGCACGTAATAACCGGAAGTTCTTGTTGATCTATTTCTCATTGATCTATTTCCGAGTCTAGCAATACTTTCTCAGTAATTCTTCCAGTTTCTCAGGAAAACAGTCCTTCAGATACTTTCTTCCTTGGAGATCTCGAGCCGCTCATTCTCTTCGTCAGGCGCCCATTTCCTCATTCGTGTTACCCATACTACATCCTGAATCAGATACCCCAACTTGGAGATTTGCCTTCAAGTACTGTTCGCGACCGACAATTTGGAGAAGTTATGAGCTCAAAGTAATAATGTTTCTTCCATATGACTTCCACCATTGACGATTGCCTTTCCATTCCAAAAACATGGCTAGTTTCTTCTGAATTCACAAAGTCGTCGTCGTCTGTTTCGGCTTTAATGTTTTCCGTATTGTCCGCAAGTACCATAATAATAATAATAAGAGTAACACATGCATTCGTCGCCGTCGGTTCGATATCCTCTACTTAGTATTAGTGCTCTAGGGCAGACTTATCCGAAATAGGTGACACCTTTAAAAAGTGGTCACATGAATAATCAAGATAACTACCCCAATCGAGAAATTAGCGCACCTTATAGGTAACACATGCACAAGAAATTTCAATGTTAGATAGCAAAATTACGAATTTACCTAAAGTCAACTTTTATTAATAGTGTAATACAAAAAATTACTGTATAATAATAGTATGGCTAATATTTAAATGCAGTGTATATTGCGATCGAAGAAAATTGTAGTATGTTTACTATTAGTGGAATGCGAGTGATTTATTATGTGTGTTCTCACCAGTCATCGAGCCAATCCATTTTGGAAATAAGTTTATTATCGATTGGCTAGATAGTAATAGGTGTGTATAATGAGAGAATCCAATCAAAGGTGATTTTACCAAAATTAGCTTTAGCTATTATCGTTATCGCAGAAAAGGCTAATACTAAATATAGACGTTAACCAAATTTATTAACCAATAAAATTGCATGTTTTAAACGAATGAGGTATGGCTGTATATAGGAGTGTGCTTATACAAAAGGCATCACCATGGTACGTTTGGTTCCTCTCGAAGCGCGCGATAAACTCGGTTTTACACGTATAAATTATCGCGTTACTCGGTACTTCGATACGACCCCTATCGACGAATGGGCGTATCATGACTGCCGTGCGGTGTGACTTCAATTCAAACGCTTCGGTCGCTGTATTAAGAGCAACTTGGCGAAAGCGCTTCCTAAATTACCTGAAAGATATTAAAGAGCACGATGTGGATGAAGAACGACGTGGAGTTGCCTCAGATCTAATCTCAAAGGTTTGTAAACCCCTACACTGTACAGCACAGGTGAATCTCTGCATCGTTGACAGTAAATCTATGCAACTCCTGGAGGTTCCGTCCCTAACAGGAGTGTGGGTGTCGTCCTCGCATAATTTTTGTGGGTTCATGTATCTTATTGCATCGCTGAGGGGAGGTACCATCCCTCAACTCAGCCGTCCTGGTACAAAAAAAAAAAGATAGCGAGCTTCGGCGACAACACACCAAAAAAGTTTTTAATATTATTATTAATTCATTTTTATTCTACCCATGCCTGACGTCACGAAATTTGTTATTCTATCGTGAGTACCCTTAGCGCGCAAATTTAATTATAATAGATAGGTCACTTGTAGATTAGAATTCAGTCTTAATTGAACAACTACCGCAGTAGCACGAAGCTAATCTGGTATAACCCCCGGTCGGAAGAACACCATAACAATCGATAGTACATACTCTTTGGCAAGCTTGTCCATAAAAAAGTATTAATAATAGTCACCAAACATTTCGATTTTATAAGATCTTTATTGACAGCTACAGAAGACGTTTACTACAATAAAAAAAGCTGTACTCTATCAGTATACTCAGTCATCTAAACACATACTATTACTATTATGTCGAAGTCTTTAAAATACTTGGTCAGTTTACAGGCCCATCAGCCATTTTTAGCTCACATAGTCACTTTGTCAATGATCATCAGCGAGGGTTTTTTTGTTGATGATTGTCCATATTGGTTGAAAACAGGTGATGATTCCAAGGTCTTTGGCGAACTTTTATTAGTAGCATCAGGTATATAAAGCGATTTTGTTGGCGAATCCAAATTGTAGACAAATTTGCCAACAATACAGTTTAAGGGATAATCTGCACAAACCATTCCATAAACACAATGCCTAACATAGCAGTTATGCCGAAGAGTTGGTCAAAAAATTGAAAGACGCCAAACGTATGCCCTTATCCCTGTGCAACGGGTAGACATGTTATAGGAAAAGACTGTTAAAAAACTTGCTCAGTATACATAGGCAGACTCGATAAGTCGGTCGACATATGATAAGCTGTAAGTCGGCCAACCTTCTTTAATGCTATATTAGTAACGTGGATTCAATAAGTTGGCGACCGACCGACTTGCCTATGTATTAAGGAAGATGAAGATCTTGACCCAGAAGAAATATACGAATTGGCATACCAATAATCAACATTGTTTACAACTGGTATATATAATATCCTTCCCATCATTTGAAAGATGGAAGTTAGGTTAGTTGAGTCCTCATTAGTAGTGAGCTCGTGTAAAAGGACACGCGCCCTTTCCTATATGCAATGTATAAACAATTCCGTTATAGTAAAGATTTTGATTCGCTTTTCCATAGAATCAATGTGTGATAAATTCTTGACAGGACAGAACTGTCGTGATGAGAAAGTTGCTTATACTGATGAATGACTTTGCACGCATACAGTAGTTTAGACTGTTCAAAAGGATTGTTCTCGCAGTCGCAAGTGGCTGACCACGCAATTCAATGAGATGTTTATAATATAAATATTTTACCTATGATTACAACTGGATTGTTCGTCAACATAGGTTTTTATTCTCTGTTGTTTTCTAATATTTTTTTACAAGGGAGGAAATATCAATGTTAAATTCTCCGTTCACAAATACGGAATATGGTTTCGTCTGATTCATCATGACATGATAATATAAATAGGCAGTTTTCGTATACATCCTGCGGGAAAATCTAACCCGGGACTGTATGATCAGATACCATGCTTGTTACGTTCGCTAGAGACAAGCGGCATGCTATAAGCCAGGTGAAGCTGTTGCAAGCTTGGATAGTTCTTCTTTCGGGTGAGTTTCCCAATATGCCTTGATGCGTGCTTCTAGCTCGGGACGAAAATGACGAATCAATCCTTGAATAGGCCAAGCAGCGGCATCACCAAGAGCTAGATAATTTCAAATAAATTAAGTAAGCACCTTAAACGTAAGCTCGTGAAGAAAAAATATATATACGGGAAACCCGTTATTTTACCGCAAATGGTATGCCCTTCGATTTGTTTCGTTAATTCCTCAATCATGTCGATTTCTCTTGACGCTGCATATCCCTGTTCAAAACGTTTCATCATATTCATCAACCATGTAGTTCCTTCGCGGCATGGAGTGCATTGACCACAACTTTCATGTTTATAGAAAGCTGATAGTCTAGAAATGGCCGCAACAATATCCGTTGATTTATCCATCACGATAACGGCGGCAGTACCAAGGCCAGACTGGACATCGCGAAGTGCATCAAAGTCCATTCTGAGATTATTGAGAATGGTGAGTTAATGTTTCCTTACGGTCATTACTGACTTGATATGGTAGATAAGGAATACGTAAACGTCTAATTTAGTACTTACAAAACATCATCGCATATGTGTTTAGGAAGAACAGGTACCGATGATCCGCCAGGTATAATGCCTAAGAGATTATCCCAGCCACCACGGACGCCACCACAGTGTCTCTCGATGAGTTCTTTCAGTGGGATGCTCATCTCCTCTGGAATAGAGCACGTTTTAAATGAACTTGTGAACAACAATGCAGATAAACGAAACTGTAAAAATGAATGTTCTACTTACCCTCAACTGTAGTAGGATAATCCACATGCCCAGATATGCAGTACAATTTCGTGCCGCTATTCTTTTCTCGCCCAAAGCTAGCAAACCATGAACCACCACTACAACAAATACGTAAATTAACTTGTGAGATATCAACAAAATCTTAGCCCCCTCCCCTGTATTTCATACTCACCGTCGACAGATAATTGGAGCAACTGCAACGGTTTCAACGTTCGCTACAGTAGTCGGACATCCAAACACACCAACGTCTGCAGGGAATGGAGGCTTTAGTCGTGGTTTACCCTGCTTACCCTCGAGCGACTCGATCAACGCCGTTTCTTCTCCACAGATATACGCTCCAGCACCGCGGTGAACGTAGACATCAAAGTCATAACCAGAACCGCATGCATTCTTGCCAATGAGACCAGCTGCGTATGATTCGTTTATAGCCTCTTGAAGGTTGGACGCTTCGTTATAGAATTCGCCTCTGACATATATATAAGCTGGCGTAAGGGATATGAGGAGAGACGGTGAGAAAGTAGTTTAGCGCAAACCGTATGCAGCATAATCACAAGTTGTGTACCTGCATTTGCGTTCATCGCACGTCCTGCGACCAAGCATCCTTCGACAAGTTTATGGGGGTCACCGCGCATGATTTCTCGATCTTTGCATGTTCCGGGTTCACCCTCGTCCGCATTGACAACGAGGTATCTTGGCCTATAACAAAACATATATATCGTACAAGTTCTAAATACAAACAGTTTATCGCTTGATGTACAATTCCCCTATTTCCAACATACCTGCCATCCGGCGGCTTATTCATAAAACTCCATTTCAGTCCCGTCGGAAACCCTGCACCACCTCGTCCTCTCAATCCGGAAGTTTTTATTTCTTGTAATATCCATTCGTGTCCCTTTAGTAATATCTCTTTGGTTTTATACCAATCTCCTCTCTTTAATGCTCCTTTTAGTCTAAAATCATGTTTTGAGTATAGATTTGTGAAAATGCGATCTTCGTCTTTCAGGCCGCCGTAGGAGTGATGTTTGTATAGGGTGTTTTGTACAGTAGCATAGGTTGCTGTGGGTTGAAAGAACGACTTGGCGTGAAGGCGTGTTGATCTCTGATGTGTTATTAAGAGTTCTGACAAACAAACGTAAAAGGAGAATTTTTGTTAATAGAAGTTGGATAGCGAACACTACGGCTATTAACGGTGTACGGTTGTTCCTGCATACACACTTCTCGTAAGTGTTGATGTCTTCCACATTGCATCGAAAGGAAATGGTGTCGACCTTAGTATTAGTAGTTGCAAATTTTGTAAATTATCACATACTGTATTTGTGGCATGCTTGCAACAAATCGTCTACGTCATCGAATGATGGGTAAGATATGAGGCGGCGCGCAAGGAAAAGAAATTCTGTACCGTATTAGGATTTCTTGTGTCAATCAAAAGGTCGTAAAGAGTAACTTGAACATTGTGCTCCAAGGGGGGTTGTTGGCCCATCCTAAATTGAGCCGTAGTCACGAGAAGATACTATAATAAACGTAAAATCGGCTAAGCCACTCCTCTATTTAGCAATCGTCTTAGTCTTCAATTATGAGAAGGATATCCCGCGTGACAGGCGATGATACTAAGACAAAGTTAACAATAAACAATGAATATCTTTTGTTATGCATGATTACGATAATAATAATAATAATAATAAGACAGAAACCATCGTATAATTAGATAACAATAACAGCAAGACGTAATAATGCCGTATAGCTCCGAATTAAAAAACGACGAGTATGATGTCACTACCATATTAATTAATATAGTCCCGAAAATAAGCACCTCCCCAAAATTTTTACCTGAGTTACTATCAGAGTTCTTTCTTCCCAATATCAATTCATAACGAAATGACTACTTCATATTATGACTGAGGTGCTTAGAGGTGAGTGGTTGTGTGCAACTGGTGTTTCTCATCCTTTTGAACCTGCAGTATCGAGAAGAAAAATGGTCACGCGTCTAAAGTATACTCTTTTATGTCTTAACCCGATTTAGTTCAAGTATCTCAACTGTCTCTACTGCTTCTGATATGAAGTCTACTCCACTTTGACTGAACAAAAAGCTCCTTAATCAAGCCAGGAACCGCTTGCTCACATTTCGAGAAGAAAAATTAGAAGTAAACGAGGATATCAAGCCAATAATTATTGCTGAAAATGCCTACATCAAGTATTAGTATTGCAAAACGAGTGGTATAATTATAGTCTATACAGACTATAATTATACCACTTATTTCGGACTATAACCATCCCAGGTATGTGTCGTGACGACAGAAACGCGACACCGTCGTCAGTGTCGTGATATATATTTTATGACACATTTTTGACGACAGGAATATATCCGAAGATTACACCACCCAACCACATGCCGAAAACGTATCATCGAAACGGGTATATAACTCCCATTTTTCTCTCTACATAGTAGAGTTACTGAACTTATATACCCCGACCGGAAATATATCCAAAAACGTACCGTTAAATAGGTAGGTTTCTCCCATATTTATTATAATATATTACCAAAGTTACCTACCCTGACACATACCCGAAACATATTATCAAAAAGTGAAGCGTTCTTCCATATTTATTATATAATATTACCGAAGATTACTTCACCTTGACCTACCTAAAAACACATTATTGATCATATACCCGAAAATATACCATTAAGCACATACCATATCGGATGAAGTGTTCTTCCATTTTATATATAATATATTTCCGAAAATTACTTCATTTTACCTACCCCGAAAGCATACCCAATCATACCAATCGAGATGAGGTGCTCTTCCATATTATATATAAAATACTACTGAAGATTACACCACTCGAACACATACCAAAGACATACCCGAAATACATATGCTAAGGTGGTGTGTTTTTCCATTTTATATATAATATATTTCCGAAGATTACACCATAAAGTTTTCTTTATCTCTATCACATTCATTTACATTCTCGCTAAGAATATTCGATACACATTTTTTGCTATCACTTACTACCAACTGAAAAAAATAATTTAAACTTTCAAAAATATATTGGGATAATATATTTTTGATAACTGATAGATTCATAACATATAAAACCAAATACCAAAAATGAGTAAACAAAACGCACATGTGATCCGGTACGGGGGCGGGGAAACTTTAGCCGGGATTCCAACTCGCAACGATATTATTTCGGAATGTGGTAATGGATTAACAGCCATACTTCAACAAAGCTTATCTGATAAACAGCCTATATACTTTATGCCAAACGATGTGAATGATGCCACTGAGTATGTAAAAAATGTATCGACATATATTCTACGTATTTACGGCACTTTGATTAATGGGCAAAAAGCTAGAGTAGATATTACAGGTATTAAACCTTTCTTTGATATCGCTGTGTCCGATAACGAACCTTTATCTGCATTCAAATCAAGATTGGTGAAAATTATATCAGGGGCAGAAAAAATTGATAAATCAAAGTTTGGAATAAATATTGTCTATGCATATCCAATTCGTGGTTATCATACCGAGAAAAAGATGTATATTCGTATCACTACATGGAATCATTATGATAGGACGCAGATTTTAAAAGAAGTTCGCAAGTATGGTATTGAAACAGCATCTGATGATATCACTACTATGAACAGAATATATGAAGATGCAATACTCCACCCCTCTGATATATCAGCTAAAAATATGTGTGAAGTTGCAAATTATTGTGTTATAGATGCATTACGATGCCAAGAGCTTATGGTTAAACATAATGTAATCAATGACTATAGGGAAGTATCATCTATTGCATATGTTTCTCTTTCTGATTCTCATTATTTTGCGGGGGGTATGAAAGTATGTAATCTTTTGGGAGTTGAAGCTTGGAGCAGTAATATGTTGTATAGTATGATTGCTTCAGAAAATACAGAATCTGGTAAATATCCAGGAGCTTATGTTATTACAGCGATAAAAGGTCTGGAAAACAAACGTCCAGTAACAGGTTTAGATTTTGCCTCCCTATACCCAAGTCTTATAATGACATACAACCTTTCACCAGATAAAATCATACTATCCCGCGAAGAAGCAATAAATGTCAGTGACAGCGGAAAATTTTTTACCCGTGCATCAGACGAAATACGAAAATGACGAGTTTATATAATGATACAGATTTTTATTCGCATTCAAGTATTTCGCCTAATGCAAGCCTTACTACTGCAACCCAAAGGTGAATAGTTATATGCAACTGTGTTCCTATCCTTTTCTTTAATCCTAAAACCACTAAATATTATTAACATACAATACTCTCTAAAATATCTTGCTTTAGCTCTACTGTTTCAACTGCCACAACTTCTTCCCATATGCAGTTGACCCCACTTTGGTTGAGCAAAGAGTCCCTTAATCAAGCCAGGGACTGCTTACTTGCATTCCAAAAGGGGGAAATGGAAGCGAACGAGGATATGAAGCCAATCATTATCAGGAAAAATGTGTCACTCAAAGCCTACATCAAATATTGTGAAATTGAATGAAAGCTCCCTGTTAGGATTCGTTTGGTTGAAGGAAAAATTATAGCTCACAAATTACCTCTCATGTCCCATGGAGCAGTATCATGGAGAATTGGATTCTTGATATGTACCTGGGATAATCAACTACATGGTGTACAAGAGGAGGATCTTATTGTGGGACTGAATAGTTACTATACTAATACTGCTGATCTTACCATCTGACCACAAGGACGTTCTAGACCTCTACCTGGCCAGGGATCTAACTCAGAAGGGAGACCATATCCAACACTGGTTGTTGAAGTTGGCAACAGT